ATGTATTTTGCGAAATAGGCTGTCATTGTAGTACCTTAGCAGCTCTGGACAACAGTCTGTTTTATACAGAATTGCCTAATCACAGTAAGTTTTGGGGGAAAAAAAAAAACCATTTCAATTTCTCCACACTGATTGCCATACACAGACCATATTGTTGCTCTAGAATGAGAGATTCTCTCCTCTGTCTCTCCTCACTTTCAAGCAATTCCACGGGAATGACCTGAGCTGGGTAATAAGGTTTTTTTCATGCTTTGGTAGACCGGCATAGTCAAACTCTGCTGAAGCAAAGAGCAGCCTGGTTTCCATAGATGAACGGCAGTGTGGTGACTGACTAGGACATGCTTTCACCCCATAGCCTTGTATCTGAACTGTGGCACTGCTCCGTCTAAACTGGCAACCAACCCCACCGGCTGCTGAAATACACAAGGAAGCAGGAAGTCTTTGAGGTACTCACAGATTGTCCATTAAATAATTCTGAATTTTAAATGTGGCACAATGCTACACTGCATTGGTTCAAGGTCCATTAGAGGCTACAAATCACCAAGACAAGTTGAAATTGTTTGGAGGTGGTTCAGACTCTGTGTGCGGGTGCAGCTGGCCCCAAAGTTCAGAAAACAAGCCAGGCACCTTCTCCCTCTCTCAGGTGCAGGAGAGAATCAAGCTCCATTAACTAAACTGATGTCATGTGAATATAAGAATTCTGAAAGTTGGCATTAAAAAACAGTGAACATATGTCTGCTTTGCATTTTTAAATTTTAAATAATTCATAGAGAAATATTTCTGTTTTGATTTTTTAAACACTGTGTGTTTAGCAACAGCCTCATTTTATTCAGACACACTCCGTAGTTGCTCTGGGACTACTTAAGCAGTCTAGTTTGAAAGCCAAGCAGTTTGTGAGATGGCCAATTTTTCTCCCATATTAGTAGGGTGAATATCTAGTTCAATTCTCCATTGCCAATTCATACAGGGAGAATTACAATTCACTAAATGGATGAATAGCCAGCTCATTACAAAGTAGTTATTCCATAATTTTGTTCAGACTGACAGCAAAATCCATTCAAAGGATCCAACTGATGGCATCCATGTATTGAGAGCATCTGTACCACCACAAGCTCTTTGTTCGGATTAGTTACTAGAGTATTTGAAAATCAAACTATTAAATTTCTGTATTATTTTTGAAGAATAATTTAGGTAGAGTTAAAATATCTGGACAGGATATTCATTCATAGGTCTTGTGCAAAAGGGGCAGCATTCTGGATCAAAAATACTACACTAATATATGACTGTCTCCTTACACTATGTTATAAATTTAAAAAGTGAGGTTAGTTTTCATATCATTTATATACTTCAGAGAATTCAACCAATAAATATCATAAAATATTGCCTCAGGCATCAAGTTTTAGGTCAGGGGTAAGTCAAACAGATAACCATTTTTCTCCCTTCCTTCCATCTCCCCCATTTTTCTGTTTTCTAGGATTGCCTTAATGATTAATAATGAATCTGATTCATTCTTAGTGGCTGCTAATGAAATAACTTGTAAATTTTTCAGTAGATAAGAAATGAGATGTTTTTGTACTCATGCAAAACAAATAAGCAAAATACTATTCCTCATTATTTACTCCTGTATTTATAGGACCTGTGCTACATCTCTCTTCTTGCAATCCATTACTTCCTTATTTGTCCCTCATTAGCTGTTATCCTCTTTGATTCAAATGAAAATTCACTTGTCTAAAAAAGTTAATGTTGCTCTTGTGTTTTTTTTTCTTTTCTTTTCCTTTTTTTTTTTTTCCCCTATGACTTCTAAGCTAATGGGGAGTGAATATTCTAGAAATCTATCTCCGCAAGTGTAGCAAGTACAAATGTTTCATTCCAGTGCCTAATCTGATGATGAAGCCAGACCACTCTATTTGAACTTTTCAATTGTTTGAGTAAATATGACCAGGATAGATACTAAACAAGGTGATAAAAATGATATACTCTAAACTGTAAGTAAGCCTAGGTGTTACAGAAGGAAAAGGACTGCAATGCTACGTTTGACTGTCATTTCAAGATCATTGCCTATTGTTCGTTTGCTTATATTTTGCAGAATCTATTTTTAAATGTCCGAGGCAATGCAACTTCTACTTCATCCCTTGGGAAGCTATTCCAGAGACTAATACTTCTCACCATCTGGAAGAGGTGGTTTTTTTTTTTTTTTTTTTTTTTGTGATATTCTCTTATTTTTTTTCCTTTGTTAATACCTTGCCCATCACAATTGCCTATTAAATCACTTCTAAAATTATACTTTCTCTGAAGATTATACAAATCATTAGAATAAACTGAACAATTATACCTTCTGTATGGAATTCTGTCGGATGATTATCTTCCTCAGCCTAACAAATATAGTTAGGTCTGTGTTTTATTCAGCAATCTTGATCTGAAAGTTTCAGCAGATATGAAAAAAAAAATCACCTTCTGTAAAGTTATACAGAACTTTGTTACAAGGTCCCAACCTGCCATGTCATACTCTTTTTCATATAAATTATACTTAGTACTCTGTGTTATTCCCTTAGGAGAAACTGGCATTTCAGCTAATGCTTTTAGAGCCCGTAAACATTTGGGATTGCTAATTGTTATGTGCTCATGATATTAGTGCTGAAGATCTGGGGAAACAAATCCCTTTAATGAAAGTACCTCTATCTTAATTAACTTCCACATTTTGTATGTCAGGACATCAACTAAGCAATGCAGGCTGTTCTAACCATGGCTAATGGAGGCTGCTCTCAGGTACTGCCTGTTCTGTTGGCTCTAGATGTGCTGTTCCTCTGGTGCTAGAACAGCTGAACAAGACATGTGCCTCTTCCCTGGCCACATTGCCTCACAGACCAGAATATAAGCATATATATAAATTGAGTCCTCAGACTGGAGCCGGAATTAAAGGTGTGATATGAGTCTTATTGTAGAGGTCAATCCATGGGCTCAATGGGCTGTTGCTTACAGGAGGCTGAGTTCTCTGTAGTATGTTGCTTGGGGAATTGTATGGTTGACACTGTAACCCTCATTAATATGTTCCATCTGCCATTTCCCAAGAATTTCAGTGTCATTAAAGGGACTTTTACAACAGATAAACTGAAGAATGATTGAGAGAATGTGTATTTTGCACAAATATAAAAGTAGAAAAGTGAATGAGATACTGAACACTGTTGTCAAACAGTCACTGACCAGTTTGATTGGTGTTGACTGCTGATGCCTATCAATTTGTAATGTAATACCACAAAAAGATGGAAAAGGAAGTTTTGAGTGCTACATTTTGAAAGATCCTTCAAGGAACTGAAATTTTGAATTGACAAGAAGAGTCAAATCTTAATTGACAACCAGCAGCGCTCATTGCCAGAAAAGTTAGTGAAAAGAGCCTGGTGAAAATAGAAGTGATCCAGGAAAAAAAGAGAAGTCTAATATGTGAATTATTTTTTTGGAACTCTGAATAGGAGAGGAAGAGAATGAAGGAAAAGATGGTTAGTTTGCCCTGGCTGTAATCCCAAAGAATGAAGTGAACAGATTTGCAAGGGAACATTATCATTTACCTTCAAGATGTGAGATATGGCAGAAGTACTCAGGATTTTAGCAAATTGGACGGGCTGTTGCATTTGGCAAAGGCATCTGGACTCAGTGAATACTAAGATGTGCACATTAGGACATTTTTGCACATGTCATTTTGGGAATTACTGCTTGCACCAGTGCTTAGGCATAGTATAGCATGAGGGCATGTCAGTTAGTGCGTGGTGAACTCATTCCTGGTGACAAAAATCAGGGAGGGAAATGAATAGGATGAATCACAACTTTGAGTGTGAGATGAAGAGTAACACACAATTACAGAACGGTTGAGACTGGAAGGGAGCTTTAGAGATCATCTAGTCCAATCCCCCCTCCTCAAACAGGGTCACCTAGAACAGACTGACCAGGACAGTGTGCAGATGGCTTTTGAATATCTTGAAGGATGGAGATGCTAAAACCTCTCCAGGCAACCTGTTTTAGCACTCAGTCACCTTCAGAGTAAAGAACTTTCTCATGTTCATCTGGGATTTCCTCTGTTCAGTTTGTGCCTGTTGCCTCTTGCCCTGTCACCAGTCCCCACTGAGAAGCGTCTGGCCCCAGTCTTTCTCCACTTCTATCTTCAGATATTTATATGTGTTGATAAATTCCCCTGTTAAGTCTTTTCTTCAAGCTAAACAGGCTAAACTATAGACTAAATAAATATCTGCCTTATCTTTCTATTTGCTACTTCTACTAAATTTTAAAATGCTTTTCTTTTTCATTTTCTCTGATAACACAAACAGGGGGAAACACCGATTCTCTCAGAGGAAAACTGCTTTTTCTCCATTGGCAGAGCAGTAGTTTTCTGTTATTCATGGTAGAATAGATACTGCTCTGCCCTTCACTGGTGCAGATCAGGAGCTGCTCCATCATGACTAGTACCCAAACTAACACCAGTCTACTTGGGCCCAGAATCTCATGTGCTGTGTGGATTTAGAGATTGACGGCAGAGAGTATTGATTTAGAAGCTGTAGTTCAAAAGGGCTTGAAGTAAACAAGAAGAATGTCTGCTCCAAAAACAAAGATTGTTATACCTGAGAGAAATGATGGTATTTGATGGTGCTATATCAGAGGCTGGAAAAAGTAGTTATGTTAAAATATGTCCAGTCCTATGAGCGAAATTGCAGCATGTTCATGAAAAGTTAAATTATTCGGTACATTTTGCCACAAATTGTCCACTGAGACATAAAATAGACAAAAGTTATTACTGAAGGTGATAGACTGGCAGTAGACTGAATTGCAGGACTTTTTTAAAAAACCCAATATGATGTTTATTGCAGTACCAAGTACTCAATATTCTGGTGCCAAGTTACTACTAAAACTGTCAGCATGTCTCACAGGTTGACTCAGGAGATTTTTTGACCACAATTAAGTGGTAAAGATTAAAATTTATTATTTGAGGATATTGAAATTTGACACTTTACATCATGGATCCGCACATCATTGCAGCAAAGCAATTTTCTTTCAGTATTATCTCAGAAAAATCAACTGAGGTAAGTTATATTAAGATACACTGTCTGGTTGATTAAATAAATTGTTCTTTACTTGGTTGAATCACCTGTTTTATTCTGCACTTTTGTTTCTAAAGGATCCCACATCGATAGGAGATGTTTTGTGTCCAAGGCAGGGGACCTGAGGAGATGTATACTTGTTTCTGTGTTCGATTGACCGATTCAGTTAAATTCAGAAAGATTAATCAAGCAATACAAATGGTATAAGGCCCAATGGAGTGCAGGATGCTGCCTTCCTGTGCCAGTGAGGACATGTCAGTGTTAAAAGAACAGAAATTCCACAAAAAAGGTGTTCCCAGCTTTAAAGCTCTACAAATGCTCTGTCTTTTGGATGTTAAATTCAAATTCATGGTGTCTGTGAATGCTGTTTGCGACTGTAGCCATCTGTGGATCCATGGGCACTGCTCTGCAGTAGTGGCAGTGTTTTAAATGGGGGTAGAGCAGTAAAATTCTCAGTCCATGACAGCTACATTCAGTGGGAGCTGATTCTTCCATCTCCTTTTTTTCCCCCCCTTAGTAGGTGATGGAGGAGACACAAACCTCATTGGAAAGTTTTATTTTCTGCAGAAGAGATGCAGCAGAGACTGATTTCAGAAAGAATTCCTTCCTTATATTTAGGGAGCTCCCATTTGATTTCCATACAGGCTAAGCAGGCTGTAAGAATTTCTTGGCTTCCAAATGTGGACGGAACTAGAATTTACAGATACAATGACATTTTTTTTTTTTTTTTTTTAATCTTCATTTATCTTCAGTGCTTCTTTGGAGGAGAAATGCAAATATGAAGCTCCTTTGTGGGACCCGCAGTGGTATTTCATTTTTGTCTTGTCCTTGGGAGAAGAAGCCACAGCTGCCTATGATAGAATGTGGAGAGATATAGCTATCAAGAGGTGCATCATGCAGAAACATGGCACTATTTTGAGACCAGAAGTGTGAAATTCTATTGCCTGAAAAGGGTTTTGAAGCTGAAAAGTCTGTATGTGTGTGTGAGCCAGAGATGGGAACAATAGTTAGTCATTGGCAGGCTCCTAGAGGCTTAGAAATGCTTTGGTTTCATTAAATGAAACTAACCAGATGAAAAAAAGAAATTTTTCCGTTAAAGCAGATCATTCCCTAATGAGTCCATAGTGATTCTATATCCAATATTGGCCCCATGTTAGGAACTGCACTGACCATTGTGTATATTCCTCACGTTTTCCATGAGGTATAGCTCAAGTTATTCATCCAGGTAATGCAGCATTTCCTCTAGTTGTTCCAATTTTTTCTTCTGAGGGCTTAATTCCCAAAAGGAAATTCTTTTATACTACAAAAGCATTCACACATAGGTAGATACTGAGAGTGAGTTTGCTTATTATGTTATTGCTTAACATTATTTATACTCTTCACACACTTTCACTGTATGCTGCTAATAGGTTGTGAGTACAATCCCTGAGAGGCTGTACTTGGACAAATGCTAGAATAATTCTGTTTTCTCAGTGCCAAAAAAATGCTCCAAAAAGGGAAAAACGTGATCAAGTTAACGGAAAAATGTCTCATGTAGAAAGATGAGCTCTTTGACCCTTTTCCAGAATTAAGAAAATGCAAGAGATCCTAAACAGGGAAAACAAACATCTTCCCTTGTAAATGTGTTGCTTCAGAAGAGTGTGCTTTGATTACAAGCACTTGCATATGCATTCATAAACACACACACACGCAAGCATTTCACCTGTAGAAGCAGCAAGTTTCCAATGAGGTTATGGTAAAAAGTCATCAATAAGAGTCAAAGGGTCCATACTGTTTGCTGGGACTGACAAAGTGCCTCTTTGTGAATTGCTATCAGAGTGAAGCTGAGCTTGGAGCGCAAGGCTAAACCAGGATATGTCCCTGGATGTATCCTGCCCTTGTATCTGTGGGCAGAGAAATCCAAGATCAGACCCACTAGAAAACAGTGATATCACAATGTTTTGAAAACTCATCTTCAGTAGTCTTTTCAGATCAGTTGCAGGGGGTATTATGCAAGACTTCTGCTTAATGACAGATAAAAAAAAAAAAAGGTAAGAGAAGTAGTTTTGCCTGGCTGAAAGTCATAAATACTTTTCCAATTTCCATTTCCTCATTGCTAGTCAAAAACTTTGTTTTAAAATAGCTGTTACTACTTGTGGAAAAGCCTCACATCACATGAAGTTTGAAAAGCAGCTAGCCTGAAATAACTGCAATAGGGCAGAATAGATATTTTCCCATGCTCCAGCTACACAAACTGCTAATGGGTAATTGGGATGCAGCATAAATGCTAAAATCCAGTACCATTACATTGAATGACACTCTATAAAATAACATCTGTCTGTGTGTAACACAGGTTTAATTCCCAGCACACTGTCAGTTTATAATGAGAACAGTATACTGTAAGCACTGAACATATGAAAGAAAAAAAAAAGAATGAAGTGCAGATAGATTGTTTTTCTGATAAGAGTTCAAGTAGCAAAAGGCAATCTTATTATCTTTCTGTAGATTGGAATGTATTTTCATTTTTTAAAGTGCATTTGTATATCCGTCTTTCTTTTCCTTTATGTTTCATAGTAGATCTTATATATTTGTGTGCGTGTGCATATGTATATATATGCAACTTATATGTGTGTATATATACATATATATTTAAATGAAATTGGATCAGAGTCTGAAATACTATTGCAACAAGCATTAAAGTCAATGTAAATATCTCCACTGGATTTAAAGCTGGAACCAAGTTAAGACTGGACGAGTCTCCAAGTTCTGGTATTTTATTGTTGTTTTGTTTTGCTTTATTTTGTTTTGTAATTATGGACAGGATTACAGAACTATCCTTTTTTCCTTTGTTTGCTACCCTGGTCCCATTCTCCTGCTAAAGATTCTTTAGAAGTTCTTCATATTAAAGGGGTAACTTATAAAGTAAAAAATAATAACTTGTGTATGTTCCATATAAAACTTCTAAAATGTTTAGAAATGATGTCACTAACTTGCTTGTTTTGAAATGATCTTAGACAAAACTAGCCTCTGTTGTGTGAAATATCAGCTTTCCCAAATCACTGTTCAAGGTAATATTTTCAGAGATGGGGTTTTAGGACTCAGCAGCTGAAGCTACAGAGCTGATGAACCAGTGATGAAATTTTATCTAATTTTAGATGCCTGACTGCCAGACAATTTTCAATGTCAAAGTATAGCCTCAGGTTTTTCTTTTTTCTTTATTTCAGTTGACATAACATAGTTTCCCAAGAATGCCAGTACATGTCCATATTAATAATCGTCATTTTTTATTCCATTGGATATGTGGAATGACAAGAAAATAATTATATCTGAATATAGCTCCATGCAAACTATTTTATTTTTCTAAGCATTTCTCAATAATTAGAATGGAATTATCTGATGAATGAATATAACATTGTAGTGTACAACAAATATTGGGATCACCTGTAGAATGTCCAGATAACACCTTTGGATATATCTAGCAACACAGTTGCATATGTATTCGGATTTATCAGAAAGCTATATTTTTTGCATATGTGTTTATATTCATATGTAGTTAGTGGTAAGAATTAAAAATATTTTGATACTGCATATTCGGTTGCTATTGGGGAAAGTTCATTAAACTGACCCTAAATCTTAACTCTAATAATACAAACATACTGTTATAGACAAAAAAAAAAATAGAAAAAGATGAAAGACTCAGAAAATTATATGAAGAAAGACATACTGTCATCACATTTTTACGTTTTCTGTCAGAAAGCTAAAATTTCTCAGTAGGAAAAAGTTTAACCGGAGTTTTTTTTTTTTTTTTTCTGCCCCACAAGTATATTTTAGAAAAGATTCCTTTTTCTATTAGGGACACGGGAATTTCCTACTCTGTATATTTATTTGATGCAGACTATTTGACAGCCTCTGCATATATCTATACCGGGGAAGGTTAATGAACTTTGTCAGGTAACATACATCTACAAGTTAAAAAGGATTTGTGAAAATGTATGTTGCGAGGAGGTATTCCAGGATCAGCGACTCAGACGCTCTCCTCTGGCTTCCTGATGCACATTGTGCTACACAGCAGCTCCTAATGTGGTGATCATTTAGTATTTCCTCTGTGGGATTCCTACTCCTTCAAGGCTCAGATGCATTTTTAAGGAATACACTAATGTAATAGCAAAGTAGTGCTTGAACATGACCAACTTCGTAGGTGAGAGAGGACTTTGCAGCTTTCTGGGGTGCATGGACATGGATCTTCATTATCGGTGTCATTTCTTTGTTTTGGGGAGGTGTAAAAATCATAAGTAGCCAAATAAGATTTTACCCTGTCATTTTTAGTCTCTGACATAAATTTTCCTGGCAATTTAACAGTACTGGAGCCATTGCATATGCTTGTCCATATCAGTTATGAAGTTACAAAAACAGTAAGAGGAAGATTTTCTGAACTGAGCTTTCCAAACCCTTCTTTCATGTGTAAACTGGTGGAGCAATTTTTGTTTTTCAGCCATGAATATTATGTCTCAGCCATTTATGGATCCTCCCTAAGCCAAATTTTGGTACTTGGTTTGTGGAAATTAATATGAACAGTATATAATACAGTGACTGAAAGAATGTTAATATTTTATTCCAAGCAATAGGGTTCCTACCAATTTCTGATATTTTTGAGTCCTCAGAGGATTTTAGGTCTTTGTTTATTATGAGGAGTTTTTGAAGCTATCTCCCATTATTGTGCGGACCACTACATGCGAAAGAACATCTCCATCAGGTCACATTAATGTATGCCTTTCAGATTGCTCTTTTAAAAAATAAATATTCATCAGTAATGAGTCCTTCATTTATTTCTAATATGATTCTATCTCTTTTGAATTGCAAAAGCTGTTTATTTTCATATTTACAGGTAATAAAAATCATATTTTATAATCTGTTTGCTCAGATTCCTGCTGCACATGACTATTTTTCCTCTGTGTTTTACAAAGTAAAAAACCTTTTATTGAAGGCTGTATGCTTTGCCTTTC